CGGTAAAAGAGTGATATTGTGTAGCTTTGAAAGGCTCGTATAAGCCTTATCTGACAGTAAGCTCTTTTATGTGTGACTCCTGCGGTCCAGTACAGTAAAGCTCTCAGTATGTTAAAGTTCACCGCAGGTATCTCAATGCCAATGTCATTCAGATGGTAATAATGCAAAGCTTTTAGAAGTCTCCTATTCTCCATTTAACAGATCGGCGAGAGTCTGTTCGCATATTCCCACCCAGTATCTCTCAATGGGAGACAGACAAAAAGAGACACAAGAGACCCACCAAGTAGGGCTAAAAATATAGTGGCGCAATATTATTCAGCCTTTTGATGATATTCGGCATGTGTCTTGACAGAATTGCATTTACCAACTCTTGGACCATTTTAAACATTTTAAACTATTAAAACCTCACAATGTTGCTTAATTCTATATCACAAATGCACAATTCAATTGTTTGGTTTTGAAATCTCTTATGCTCCCCAAGGCTGCATTTATTTGTTTAAAAACTGTAATATTGCGAAATATTATTACAATTTAAAATAACTTTATTCTATTTGAATAAATTGTAAACTGTAATGTATTCCTGTGATCAAAGCTGAATTTTCAGCATCATTTCTCCAGTCTTCAGTGTCACATGATCCTTCAGAAATCATTCTAATATGCTGATTTGTTTCTCAAGAAACAGTTCTGATTTTTTATCAATGTTGAAAACAGTTATGCTGCTTAATATTTTGTGGAAACATTTTATTTTTCAGGATTCTCAGAAAGTTCAAAAGAAAAACATTTATTTGAAATAGAAAATAGCATTAAAATGTTGAAAAATTGCTTTTCTTGTGACCCTTTTTTGAAATACCACCTTTAACTGATGAAACAAAATGCAAGGAAAACATTTACAGATTATTTTTTTCCCAGCAGTCATCTGTCTGAAATTCATTAGTCATCTATCAGTTCATTTGTAAATCATTTGAAATTTTTTGTAAGCAAATTCGCATGCTTCAAGTCAAAATATGAACCTTTAACCCCCCTGAGAGACTAAACATTGTGTGTAAAGTAAGACTGAAAGCCACACTTAACACTCGTATAACCCTCGACTGTATCCCTGCACTGCTGACCCCTTCTCAGTTCGCCGTGCTCCTCAGAAAACACTGAAGCATCGCCGCTTTGAAAGCCCACAGAAAGGCAGCCAAAGAAAAGACAGCATTTGCACTGTAATCATACAGTCCTATAGAGGAGTAAAAGGCATGTCAGATGGTATGAATGGCCTGTTCTTGACTCTGCTGTAATGACAGGCCTGTGAAACTCCTTCTCATGTGGAGAAAGAAAAGGTGCTGGGCTAATGACCCTGTTTTTATGACTTGAACTCTCCGTTAATGGTCCACAGCTCCGGTCCCACCACATTCTCTGTCAGCAGCAGTGTTTTTCCTTTTTTTCCCCCTCGCTCTTTCACGCAGAAACGATCCTTGTTTGTGTTTATCCATTTGCTATTTGAATAAATTGTAAACTGTAATGTATTCCTGTGATCAAAGCTGAATTTTCAGCATCATTTCTCCAGTCTTCAGTGTCACATGATCCTTCAGAAATCATTCTAATATGCTGATTTGTTTCTCAAGAAACAGTTCTGATTTTTTATCAATGTTGAAAACAGTTATGCTGCTTAATATTTTGTGGAAACATTTTATTTTTCAGGATTCTCAGAAAGTTCAAAAGAAAAACATTTATTTGAAATAAAATAAAATGTTGAAAAATTGCTTTTCTTGTGACCCTTTTTTGAAATACCACCTTTAACTGATGAAACAAAATGCAAGGAAAACATTTACAGATTATTTTTTTCCCAGCAGTCATCTGTCTGAAATTCATTAGTCATCTATCAGTTCATTTGTAAATCATTTGAAATTTTTTGTAAGCAAATTCGCATGCTTCAAGTCAAAATATGAACCTTTAACCCCCCTGAGAGACTAAACATTGTGTGTAAAGTAAGACTGAAAGCCACACTTAACACTCGTATAACCCTCGACTGTATCCCTGCACTGCTGACCCCTTCTCAGTTCGCCGTGCTCCTCAGAAAACACTGAAGCATCGCCGCTTTGAAAGCCCACAGAAAGGCAGCCAAAGAAAAGACAGCATTTGCACTGTAATCATACAGTCCTATAGAGGAGTAAAAGGCATGTCAGATGGTATGAATGGCCTGTTCTTGACTCTGCTGTAATGACAGGCCTGTGAAACTCCTTCTCATGTGGAGAAAGAAAAGGTGCTGGGCTAATGACCCTGTTTTTATGACTTGAACTCTCCGTTAATGGTCCACAGCTCCGGTCCCACCACATTCTCTGTCAGCAGCAGTGTTTTTCCTTTTTTTCCCCCTCGCTCTTTCACGCAGAAACGATCCTTGTTTGTGTTTATCCATTTGACTTTCTGCAATGCTTTATCGTGACATCTCCATTTCAATAACCTGTAGATCTTCACCAGACTACACTATCACCTTTACACAAATGGAAAGATGTCATCATTATAATGCGGAGAAGCTTGAATCGTTTTTCATTTTTAGTTTGAGCACTTAAATGCTGATGTTTATCACATGCTGCTGTATTAGGCCTGTAAAGACTGACTTATGAATACTCTGAAAAATCCATTTTTTTTTTTAAAGGAACTATTTATTGAACCTTGAGACAAAATTAAATATATATATATATCTTTTAAAAAAGTATATTTGAAACACAAGGCTTTTATGGCTCGTATAGTATAGTGAAGAATATGGAGGAAAAAACACCTCAGTTTTATTCAGAGGCCCAAACTGATCAAAAATATGCAATTTGGTGCAGTTGATGATATACTGTGTATATATATATATATATGTGTGTGTGTGTGTTTATAAGTTAATATTTATATTTAGAAATATGTATGGCCAAAAATAAGATGAAATTCTGATAGCTTGTCACATTTTCACATTATTTTTCTAAAAATTATGTTTGGATAAGTAAACATAAGTTGCTTCAGTCCAGTAAATTTGAATCTGGAAATATGACTAACAATTTAGTTGTTGTTCTTAAGTTATATTATTTTAGAAAAATCAGTAAAGACTTCAGAGCAAAAAGACACATGAAGCACAACCTGAAGGTGGATGCTTTTACAATTATACTAAAAGGCCTTTGACTTGATAAACTTTTGATTCCTCACCTTTCTACAAACTAAAGCATTCTTGGTAGCATCTCATTCATTTTTTTTTTTATTGTTATTATTTGATTTGAGTGATTTTATTTTCTGCCTCTCAGTTTGACTCCCAAACAATAGGTTTGATCGAATCTTTAAAAAGAATCGGTTCAACAGAATGATTTGATCAGGGATCTGCATCTTAAAGGCTGTGAGTTCATTCTCAGCCTCTTTCTCTCCTCTGTGGGGTTTATTTAGTCTTGTGAAGGAGCAGCGGTGTTGATTGTACAGCTTCATTAGATGGCAGACGGGGGCCTGGCTTCAGTGTTAGCTGATCTCATAGTTCTGACAGCGGGCGAGTGGGACAGAGGGAAGCAGGGGAGGAGAGGAGGGTTAGTGTTTCCGCTGTTCTTGGTTTAAACCCTTTCTTCGCTAAGTCAGCCGTGACGCCACAGCCGCGGTGAGCAAGCACATTCCTCTCGTGGCCATGCCATTCACCGTTACCATGGCACCCACCCATCTGGTCAAGAATCCTGTTTTGGAGCCGGGGGAGGGTGTGTGAGTGTGAGTGTGTGTGTGTGTTACAGTGTTTGTGTGTCTTGGTGTTATGGGAATAGGATCCTTCAATCTCAATTATTTTAAAGGTGCCTCCTTTATTTCTTTCTTCAAATGAAACGATTTTGTAGGACGTTTCTTGAATGTAATGTTACATGACTTTCGAAATGCATTTAACTTTAATTATCTGACGCACTTCTGGATAAAATTGGATATTCAGTGTGAAATAATGTATCAGATTTTGACTGAAAGGTGAAAAGTAGGCGAAGAAATTATACGTTAATATTATTTTTATGCACCCACACAGCTTTGGTAATGTCAGAAAAGCAAGTTGTAGATAATTAAAAAGATTATATTTATTTTAAAAATAAGTGTCAATTTTGATTCCATGGTGTTTCTTAATCATAGTTCTGATTCACTTTATAATGTTTTATGATGCTTTTATGTCCAAAAGTAATTTGATCTCTTTTCTGTGATATAAATTAATCATTTTATTCAGAAAGGATGGATTAAATTCATCAAATGTGACTAGTAAAGACATTTATAATGTAAAAATATTATATTTTAAATAAATGCTGTTCTTTTGAACTTTATACACATTAATCCTGAAAAAAACATGCATCACTGTTTTCACTAAAAAATATAGCAGCACAACTGTTTTCAACATTGATAGTAATAATAAATGTTTCTTGAGCAGCAAATCAGAATATTAGAATGATTTCTGAAGGATCATGTGACTCTGAAGACTGGAGTAATGATGCTGAAAATTCAGCTTTGCATCACAGGAATAAATTACATTTTACAATATATTCAAATATAAAATGGTTATTTTATAATGTAATAATATTTCACAATATTACCTTTGTTGCTGTAATTTTAATCAAATAAATGCAGCCTTTCTGAGCAGAAGAGTCTTCTTTCAAAAACATTACCATTCAAAAGTTTGGGGTCAGTAAGATTTTTAGTGTATGAATGAATGTACAGTAGATAGTCATGTAAATAGAGGCCAAATAATTGATCTAAAACAGGGCTGCCCAAACTCCTGGAGGGCCGGTGTCCTGCAGAGTTTAACTACAGCTTGCCTCAACACACCCGTCTTTAAGTTTCTAGTATGCCTAGTAAGAGCTTGATTAGCTGGTTCAGGTGTGTTTAATTGGGGTTGGAGCTAAACTCTTCAGGACACCGGCCCTCCAGGACCGAGTTTGGACAGCCCTGATCTAAAATATACAGAATACATTTGCATGCACATGTGTATCTCTACATACTTTGGTCCTGATCTCTGTATGTTTGTGTGTTTCTCTCAGATGACCAGGCTGAGCAGCGCTCTTGTCTTATTTGCGGAGACCGCGCCACAGGACTGCACTATGGCATTATTTCCTGCGAGGGCTGCAAGGGCTTCTTCAAGCGCAGCATCTGCAACAAGCGCGTCTACCGCTGCAGCCGCGACAAGAACTGCGAGATGTCACGCAAACAGCGCAACCGCTGCCAGTACTGCAGGCTGCTCAAGTGCCTGCAGATGGGAATGAACCGCAAAGGTGAGAGATGTCAATGGAGCCGATACAGTCATATCTGTGTTCTCAGTTTAGCATGACTGGCTGATCAGCATTTACTAGCCAAACCAGCTCTGACCAGTCTGAACCTGCATGGAAATTCGAGCTTGTCTAATTTGGTCTTTTCAGCAGGGTATAATTAGTCATTATAGTGCTGTTTAGCAAAGCTGTTTTACCATAATATTTTAAAGGTAGTTTGGTAACAAAAACAAATAGGTGGAAAATACATTAAAACAATCACCACTGCCCTCTAGTGACAATACCAATAATACACAAGGGCTGAGCTCACAATATGCCTGTAATTTAGATACATCTCTGAAAAAACAAAGCCCACACTATAACAACAGTCACAGTCATGAAATAGTCATTTCATCTTTTACTGTCATATTATGTTTGGGTTAAGATTGAGAAGCGTTCAGGAGATTATTCTGGTTGTAGATGCATTGCATTTCCTATTCATAGAGCATAAGCTTCAGCTCCTCTGAGAACCGTATAGAAAACTCCTCTCAAGACAGAGTAAATGCAAAACTGAGAAGTCTTCCAAAAGAGATGAGAAACCCTTGTGAAAAAGTACACATCAGTGTACATTTAAACAGTATCTATTACAGAAGTAATATACTATATAATATGTGAACTTAATATGTGACCCTGGACCACAAAACCAGTCATAAGGGTCAATTTTTCGAAATTGAGATTTATACATCATATGAAAGCTGAATAAATAAGCTTTCCATTGATGTATGGTTTGTTAGGATAGGACAATATTGAATTGAAAATTTCTGAGTGTGCAAAAAAAATCAAATATTGAGAAAATCGCCTTTAAAGTTGTCCAAATGAATTCTTAGCAATGCATATTACTAATCAAAAAGTACGTTTTGATATATTTACGGTAGGAAATTTACTAAATATCTTCATGGAACATGATCTTTACTTAATATCCTAATGATTTTTGGCATAAAAGAAAAATCAATAATTTTGACCCATACAATGTATTTTTGGCTATTGCTACAAATATACCCCAGCGACTTAAGACTGCTTTTGTGGTCCAAGGTCACATATGTGAAGTGCATGTTAATTGCAATTAAATGAAACTGTGCTATGTTTTAAATCAATATTAAATGCAACTAGCTAAACTCTTTTTTTTTTTTTTAAATAGGGCTTAAGTATATATTTATCGTAATTTCATATTAACCTAGTTAATTACCTAATTAATAGTTAATAAATGTCTTTGAAATATGGTTAAAGTACTACCGGATATACTTAATTTATGGTAAACCATTCTTATTGAAACTTGTATGTCATGTATTTAAATATATTTGTAAATACTTATATGTAATGAAGTTGCATTTTAGTACATTAAAATATATTAACTCTAAATGTAAGTGTTAGTCAACACATAAAAATAAGTGTACACCTTTAATGCATGACACATTTTTATAACTAAATAATTTAAAATGTTCTTTAAAGTAGGATGTTTAATTTGACATTATTACCAAGTGCACTTTTTCAACGCGTGTTAAGAAATATGGTCATAAAAGTCTCTCTTTAAGTACACTTAAGTTGCCTTTTATTTCATTAATATTATATTATCTGCAAATATCGTATTTTTTTTTTATATGCTTTTAAGATTTGATGCACACTACAAGTACACATTCAATACAACTTCTTTTCAAAAAGTTAAGTGTGGTTTGTTTTAAACCCAATTATAACACATTTAGGTTGTTTAATCGAATTAGATGAGCCACATTTGAAAATGTAACATTAACTAAATTATACTTATTAATAAACTGCAATTATTATTAATTAAATATGACATCTTTTACATCTATTGTTGCCAGTTTATAAAAGCAAAAGCCATCTGAAAATACGCTTCACAGGGATTTTACCACAGTAAAGGGGGTTTATGCACTCAACAACAAGTCTTATTTATGCACAGCCTTCAGTGGCTTATTGCTTTACTACATTATCTGAAGAATGTTAGACTCAAAATGCTAGAAAACTCATATAATAGGTTACTCATCAATACATAGCAAAGAGTTAATGTTCTGGCCAAAGAACGGTGTCAAAGTATTTGCAGTATCCGAGCGACATTTCCAATCCACCTTCAGCTGTATTGAGCTTAGATTCTAGACACACTTTTAAAACGTCTGGTTTTCTTCCCCAAAGTTTTGTGTTGTTGAAAGCATGCCGCAATTGTTTTTTTGTTCCTTCAGCGGTTAACATCTAAATCATGAGGCATATACAAAGCAATTTAGTCATTTCCATTTGAATGCTGAAAAGAGGCGAAGCATTTCAGAGGCACGCAGAATTTCTCATCTCGAAGGTAAAATTCTTTTTAAATGGACATTCAGCTCATTATTTGGTTTTGTGTTTTTCAGCAATCAGAGAAGATGGCATGCCGGGAGGCAGGAACAAAAGCATCGGTCCTGTACAGGTGCCCATAACCCCTCATTCGCTTTCATCACACCAACACTTTTCTTTCAACACTTTTAACTAAATCGACTTCTCCTATCTGACGAGATGCCGTGCCCTGATCTCTCTATTCTATACTTAGTATATTTCTCTTCATTAGGACTTTTTAAAAGTCACAAATTAATTACTCCATCCCCGCCCTGCCATTCATCTCGAGTTTCTCATCGCTCTTTTATGTCTCTCGTGTCCACCGCGTATTAAAGCAGCCGCGCTGATTGCGTTCATGCCCTCTCCAGTCGTGAATGGAGGAAATAGAGCTGATTAGTTTCGGCGCATATGAAGACGAGCGGAATAGAGTTTTGGGTTAAATAGCCCAACGTGCCGATAAATGGCCTTGTGACCTCAGTGTAATTTAAAGATGTTAATTTCATTAGAAGAGTCGCTGTTCTCAAGGCTAGAGCACCGGTGAATAGATTGCCTTGTCATTCTTCGCATTCATTGTCAGCTGACCTCATCAAATCATTGTGTTTTGCTGCTTTTCTGCATTTGCGTGAATAGCAGCGTTAGGTGAATGTATTAAATTCTCATGTGAGGGAATATGTTGTTTTGTGACCTAATAATGCCTAATAATCCAAAACTTGGCCTTTGATATTAAGGGTTATGTTACTGTAGATGCGAAATATAACTTTGCCTCGTATTTCTCCGACATCGTGCTGAATATTTGACTTGAGGCTCCATTAAGTACATTCGGTGAACAGTATTGTATGGAAGTGTTTACCCTGGTGAGCTGTATTTGTTGTGTTGTATTTGATAGGACAAAGTGGGCTTTGTTAGTCCATATAGCGCTCTTGTTTGCACCTGATCCCAGCACTAGAGACCGCCATCTTATTGACTCGGCCTAATTGCCTCTGGAACACACAATAGCTGGTTGCTTCACCTTACACAGAATTAAAGATGGCTTGAACCCATCAACTGTATTAAAAAGGGATTTTTTAAAAATTATTGTGCACGGCCTTGACTTAAATGCTGGTTTGTCTCTTTCTGTCATATTTGTATGAAAAGCGAAAATAAGGCTCATGGAATCGTGCTTTGTACGTCTTTCTCCACTTGTTCCAAACCTTGTATGAGTTTCTTTCTTCTGTTAGAAGATACTTTGAAGCAGTTGACGGTAGCCATTGACTTCCATAATATGTTTCCATACTATGGAGGTCAATAGATACCGTCAACTGTTTGGTGACCAACATTCTTCAAAATATCTGTTTTTGTGTTCAACAGAAAAAAAGAAACTCATACAGGTTTGGGACAACTTGAGGATGTAAATGATGACACAATTTATATTTTTGGATGAACTGTCTCTTTAAGGTGTGGTTGCATTAGAGAATTTTTGCGAAACTTTTGTAGGCAAAAAGGTCCATTGTCTATTTTAAATAGTGATGTATAAGCACAGCTCACACAGAAGTCACTTTCATACCAAGCAGCTTTCTGTTGGTCAACATGGCAAATTGGCTAAATCTATGTAGAGAAATCTTTCCCAAAATTTCGCGTCATGTAGAATCCTTTTCTGGTAAATGTGACCACACGTCTTACTAAATATTTTGCACAGTTTTAGAATTTTGATCAAAAATTAGCAAATCCATGTGACCACCCTAAAACTGTTGCGAAATCTTTCTCCCTCCCACGAAATAATATGGATTCATATTTAAATGATCTCATCGGCAAAACTGAACAATTGTAAATGTGATTGCACCTTTAGTCCTAATGAATGACTCATTCAGTACTAGATTTTGCACAAAAATCAAAAATCTCTCTGCGCAGATTTCCGATGAGGAGATTGAACGGATTATGTCCGGACAGGAGTTTAAGGATGATGCCAACATGCCGGAACACACTTGGGGAAACAACGGCGACAGTGACCACAGTTCCCCTGGCAACGGCGTCTCCGATGGGAATCAGCCATCTCCTGTATCCACACTTTCATCCAAGTGAGTATTCCCTTCTCCGCTGCAAAAACAGCAGTTTGTGGGAATAATTCTCAAAATGCAAAAGTACAAATTTACAGATTAGATTACATTTAGATTTTTAGATTACTTTTAGATTACATGTTAGATTACAAATTTAGATTACAGGCTTTAGCTACAATGAACACGAATCAAAAGACTGGATTCCTTTGTATTTGCCTCAAATGCATTAAATAAAAAAAAGTGTAAAAAAGTATTGTAAACTATATTTCTTTTCTTCCTCCTCTTCCTTTCCATTTCTTTCCCACACAGTCGCTCAGTGGAGCTGAATGGCTACACCGCTGCTTTGAGGGAACAGTACATTGGCAATGCAATGGCCCAGCACTACCAGTTCCTGCCTCACCTGTTTGGATACGCCGCCCAGCCGCGGAGTCTGTACCCCCAGAGTCATACCCTCATCAGCCAGCTGGTGGCAGCAGAGGAACTGGCCCCACTGGGCACACCCATGCTCATTGAGGACGGGTAAACAACACCTCATTCATTCAACAGCCATGCAGGCCATCGTTCATTTTAAAACAGTGTTTAACATTCTTAAAATGTACTAATGCTCACATAATGCTCTTTTTTGCAGGTATCGGGTCACTCAGGTGGAGCTGTTTGCGCTATTGTGTCGGCTGGCGGATGAACTTCTCTTCAGACAGATCTCCTGGATCAAGAAGCTTCCTTTCTTCTGCGAGCTGTCCATCGAGGACTACACGCGGCTCCTGAGCGCCACCTGGCAGGAGCTCATCCTGCTGGCCTGTCTGACGGTCTACAGCGCCCAGGTGCTGGGCGACCTCGCCAACGTCACCGACAAATACACCCCGTCAGACGACGAGCTGCAGAGGTGAGGAATATAGAGCTTATGTCACACGCCTTTTATTCCCTGTTCTATGATTTCCAAGCATGTTGCTGATCGGTTTGGATCATTAATAAGAACCGATTCAATACAGCGATTCATCAGATACTGCTAATAAGTATCTGGGCCTGAGAAATATCTCTTTGCTGCTCTTCTGTGGATGTAGGGCTTGTTGTGATCCCTACTAGTGCTAAATCACGATAGTTAGACTGTTCTCCATGCTTCAGGTACTCTCAGGCATCTCTGTATGGAGGTGGAGACCACTGTGTGTGTATGTGGGAGAAAGGCAGTGAAACAGACGTGTTATGTCTGTCTGTCCTCTCCCTGTATTCTCCTCCAAAATTTTGTGTCTTTTATGTTTGTAATAAACTTGAGATGCACTGTGGCATTTTTCAGATTTTTTTTTTTTTTTTTTTACAGATTATCTTAATTAGTATAACTGATTAATCTGAGTGAAAGGATGAATTATGTTTTATATAATGTATATTTTAATTGCAAATTTTGTGTAAAATAAGTATTTGTTTATTTTTTATTTATTTATTATTTTTTTTTATTATTTATAGATATACCTTAGAATACCTTTTTTCTATTTGAATATATTTTAAAATGTAATTTATTCCTGTGATCAAAGCTAAGTTTTCAGCATCATTACTCCAGTCTTCAGTGTCACATGATCCTTCAGAAATCATTCTAATATGCTGACTTGCTGCTCAAAGAAACATTTCTTATTATTATCAATGTTGAAAACATTTGTGCAGCTTAATAGTTTTGTGGAAACTGTGCTACATGTTTTTTTTTAATAGAAATCTTTTGTAATATTATAGATATCTTTATATTTGCATTTTGGTCTAATTCCAGGCCCTCGTGCACATTTCTAGAGCCATGATTAATATACCCGTAGCCTTACGAGTGAAATACTAGTGCTGACATGGAGGAGGGGAGTGAGTGTGGTGTGTGTAAATTAGTCTGCAATCACCTGACCTCTGAACCGTCTCTTCTTGATCTCCTGGATAGATTTACTGTTGCATGCTGGGCAGAAATGCAGGTCTGAGGTAGTGAAACATTCCCATTTACTGTGCAGGTACACACTGAAGATCATGACCTACCTATAGGGAGAGAGTTCAAAGAGTCTGGAGTAATTAAAGGAGAGCAGCAGATAAACGTACAGACGGATCAGATTCAGAAAAGTAGAATAGAGTCACGAAGGCTGAGAAAAGCACTTAGACTGAATGGTGCTGGTACGTCGTGTCATGGGTTCACTCTTTTGTGATGGCTTTATGAAGTAATTTAGCACCAAGATACGTCTCATGCTGTGCTTTATCACTTTAATTCTTATTTTATTTCTATTATTACATGATTCATGTGGTATCCTACTCAAACATATTCTTAAATCATTATTAACATAATAATGGCTATGACCACATAGCATATGCTTGTGTGGAATCAGATGATAGACCAACATTTGTCACGGGTTTATTAAACACTCTCATGGTTTCACATTTCATTTTATGAAAATACTACTATAACTTCATAACATTTGTATTTTTTCAAAGCAGGTGTCAGAAATTTCAGACATTTCTATATATGTATAATTGTATGTATATATTGTTATATAGTAATACTCTTGATTATTCATAAATATATCATATAAAATGTAATTTATATAATAAAATTAATATAATTTTCAAAAATGTGATCATTCAAACACGCAGTTATGACAAATGTTGAGTTATGTTACTATAAAAATCAATTAAATTACTATTTACACTGACCTCACATTGCTAAAATATAAGATACATGTCTGATTTATTTCAATATGAAAGTGATATTCTGATTAGAATTGAACATTTCAGATTCAGTCTATTTTTTTCTGTTCACTCAGTCATAAAAACAGATCTATGTCACATGTAATGGGAAAAACAATCTGATTTATTTAGATTTTATGAAGTGATTGAACTTTGCTGCTTATGTGGGAGATGTTGGTTCAAATCTGATCCCCATATTGTTCTGATCACATCAGTGCTGTCAACACGAATTGGACCCGGTTGACGTAGCTGTGAGGTCAGTTGTTAGATCTATAGTTGATTGATGGATTGTTTGTGTGTGTAGTTTCAGTGAGGATGGGATGGAGGTGATGGAGAAGCTGATCTATCTGTTCCGTAAGTTCCATCAGCTGAAGGTCAGCAATGAGGAATATGCCTGCATGAAGGCCATCAACTTCCTCAACCAAGGTAAAACAGCAAGTATTTCCATTTTAATACAATATTACATCATACAGTATACTGTATGCTGATGCTCTTCTGACTTATCTTATGATAATCACTGCTCACTGCATGAGCACGTAAACAGATGATAGAGATCTTCAGAATCAACAGTAATAGAGCCATAACGCCATAATGGCACGAAACAGAAAAGCACGTTTCATTTTCATATATTTCTTCATAAGTGTCCAGCATCATGATATTTCTTTGTATGTGTCTAGATATCCGCAGTCTGACCAATGTGACCCAGCTGGAGCAGTTGAACAAACGTTATTGGTACGTTTGTCAGGATTACACCGAGTACAAGTACCCTCACCAGCCCAAACGCTTTCCCGAGATCATGATGTGTCTGCCAGAAATCCGCTGCATTGCAGGTAAGTCCAAAAACAAGACATTTCATGTATTTGAATAAGAATTGCATCCGTTTAACGGTCAGATCTCACCATTCTCCCCTCGTTATTCAGGGAAGTTGGTCAACATCCCTTTGGAGCAGCTCCCCCTGCTGTTTAAGGCAGTATTGCACTCCTGTAAGTCAAGTCTGAACAACTACACGACAGGCTCCTCCCCCTGTGTGACAAAGGGTACCGCCCCTGCCAACTAGCCCCGCCTCCCTTGAAAACACCCTCCCCATCTATTGCACGGGGGCAGGGTGTTATTTGGGGGTGGGACTCCCGGTACCCTCCTCCTTCTCCTCTCATGAATGTGACAAGATACTATTTTATGCATTTTGTTTTAGATTAGTGTTGTTTTTTCTCTATATTTATTACCAGACAGAGCTGAATGTATGTTGATCCACACTGTGCACATGCTCCTTTTCAAATGAAAATGCACAACAAGCGCAGTGGATTTCACACGCTTCAGTCCACCTGCGATATGTGACGTGTAACCACTGATCGGATTAGATCTACTGCTTGGTTTTATTTTATACTTCTGTTCACTTTCTGCTGATGGGGACAGATATGTATGAAAGGAATTGTTTTATTGAAAGACTACCTCAGGAAGAAAGCATTTCACGTGCTCCCTCTCTGTTTTGTGACGCACCGGGCCATTAACGTCGACACTGTGCCTTGAGTTTGAGACCGTCTTGTCATTTCTTACGCATTTGCGGTGCGCTGCAGTTCTCAAACATACGCTCGGTAGTCACGTAACCTCTTAACACATGGGTTTTTATCTTACCATACAAGGCCGGGATGGAGAGCGTGATTGTTTACACAGAAGAGAGGTGTACGGGTATGTTTCACAATCATAGGCTGGGGACGAAACGACAACAGAATGTGTCTGTTAATATTGTTTTTGTTGATTTCTTTCTTTTCTTTTTTCTTTTTTTTTGACCAAAGTGTTATGCAAATTTGGAGGGAAATAATCCCGGCTCTGCTCACCCTTGTTGAAAACACGAGAGACTTCTGAGGAGAACAGCCGTTTTGGTCATCAAACTGCACACTCCACGCGGTTTGCACTCAGTCCGGCAGTGAAGTGTGGTGTATTGGCTGTCTTATTTCAGAAAACAATTGGTTCCTTAATTTGGAGTACTCGTTGAAGGATGTAGAGTTTGGCCTTGAAGTATTTATCAGCTGAAATTGGGCATTGGAGAGATTCAGTCACCGTGAATCATTAGCATTAGCATCAGATTTGATTGCAAAGTTCTAAAATGTATCCGCCAAATGCTCTCAAACTATAATAAAGGGCATTTATTTGAGTACAGATGTGGCGAAAAACTAATTACCTCATGGTTTAGTTTCCTCTGGTCTGCTGCTGGTTCCTTCCCTCACATTTTAAACAGGGTAAAGTTACTGTTTTTATAATTCACTCGCATCTCTCTCAAATATCGCAGTGCTGATGTACTTGTAGGTTTAGTAGTTTGTAGTATTCTGGACATTGTAGGTCCTTTTAGATGGGGTTTTTTTTCTTTCTTTTTATGAGACTGGGGAGGGGGAAGTGTTGTTTTGAAGAGTATTTTGTTTTGGTTTTGAGTGTTACTGTAAACCCGATTAGAGGAAAAAAACATGACTAGCTAGCTAGTCCGGTTATGACAAGCCATCCGATGCCTTGGAGGTTTTCGTTACGATTCTTTTCCTTGGTTGGTTTTTTACCAAGGCGTCAGTGGATGTGCTCGCTGTAACACTCATCATTTCAGACATTCCAAACATGTTCGATATGCGTCGTAATGTTTACATATTTGCACCAGACAATGACAAAGGGGCCCATACCAAAGACGCACGTTCAGCCTGGTAACGCCCCATCTCAAGTGCAGCTAAACCTCGGTGGCAACATTTGGCATTGTGTTGTTTTGGTGGACGCTACACATCTGTCTGTATGATGTGTCCTTAATCTTAAACGTTTCATCCATCCCACACCGCATTCGTTTGTCCCTTCATTTGTTGTCGTTTCATTTTGTACATCGTTCACTGTGGTAGATATCATGACTGTTTTTTTTTCTCGCGAGGGCTTGTTTTGGAGTGTGAGCTAGCTAAATGTCAGACTAAACTCTTGATACGGTGGGAGTGTTTGTTACAGGTAAAAGCTCCAAACACACCGACTTAGTCTACGAAAGTACGCATTTGTAAGCCATCGCCCACGTCAGAATAGAATAGACTCGAAGGTGGAGATTTATCGCGAACAAAGCTGCTTTAAACACCAGCCTTCCTGAATTGAGTTTCTCAGACCTGCATTGTTGTTACCGGCTTGGTCTCTCAGGAATATCCCTCTTTTTTTAACCGTTTTGTTAATCTGGCTTTTGAGGGAAGCTTTTGAATCTCATAGCAGACCTTTAAAAGAGCCACACTCTCCATCTAGGTCTTTGTTTTCTGTCGTTCCTTCATATTTGACGATGTGTCCTCGTTTGTTTCTTTTTATACATTTTTCTTTGAAACTACCTTTTTTGTGTCATCATGTAGCGTGCTTTCATTAAGGAAAAGTATTCATCGTTATTTATTGGTTTCAAAGCACCGCTGTTTCTTTGACCGTCTCATATGCCGTTCTGGAAACTTCAGAAATTGAGATAATAGTTTTCATCAATCATATTCCGTCGTTGTCTTAAAGGGGTCCTATTAGGCTTATTCACTTGTTCAACTTTAGTTTGTCTGTAATGTTGCTGTTTGAGCATAAAAAAGATCTGCAAAGTTACAAAGCTCAAAGATGACATCTCCCGACCAGGCGCCGAGTGCTGCCAATCACAACACACACACACTGGCCCAGCTAACCAATCACAACACACACTGGCCCAGCTAACCAATCTCAGCACATTTCGTATTTCAGAAGGCGTGCCTTCATTTGATACAGGAACTATTCGAGTCGTTCATGCCAGACTGGGGAGGCACACACTGGCCCAGCTAACCAATCACAGCACGCACTGGCCCAGCTAACCAATCACAGCACACACTGGCCCAGCTAACCAATCACAGCACACACTGGCCCAGCTAACCAATCACAGCACACACTGGCCCAGCTAACCAATCACAGCACACACTGGCCCAGCTAACCAATCACAGCACACACTGGCCCAGCTAACCAATCACAACACACACTGGCCCAGCTAACCAATCACAGCACACACTGGCCCAGCTAACCAATCACAGCACACACTGGCCCAGCTAACCAATCACAGCACGTTTCGTATTTCAGAAGTCGGGCCTTCATTTGATACAGGAACTATTCGAGCCGTTCATGCCAGACTGAGGAGAGAGGTGTTGTAATAATGTAAAATATGTGAAAAATAATGTGTTTTTCGAACAACCTAGTATGAGAGCCTGTTCTAGTACACCCCCAAAACCAAATCAAGACTTTGTAAAAGAGCATAATAGGACCCCTTTAAAATAATTCCTAAAATAATGCCTGATAGACATCAGATGCTGCATATTTACCTCACTCTTCAATGAAGACCATTTCTCAGTGCAATTATAACATGTGAAATGAACAGTATTATATTCCTAGTTGTAAACACTGTTTGTGAATTGTTTTCATGAAGAATGTATTTTTTTTGTCTATATGACTTTATTATTATTTCTCAACTGTTTACAAGTTTTTTGTCAGTCCATTGTAATCATGTTAATGCTTTGACACTTTTCAGCCAATCAGAATTCTTTCTTGATTGTTACGGGTATGCTGATTGGTTATTGAAAGACTATCAAAGTGCTGTCAGTTTAACATAGCCAGGGAACTTATTTTAGTCTTTTACCAGTTCTCTTTGGGATTCTTCTTGATCCAGTGGCAATCTTATTAGAAGAAACATTGGTGAATGTTGGGGCTCGAGCAAACCATACAGAGCCAGATGAGAGGTTTTGAAACATGGGTGATATCTCAGGGAATAGACACACTTCTGAAAACCCCAAAACAACACTAGTACATGCCAAATTAACTCCTGTCTGTTTGTGTCTGTCTTTGTATTAGGCATCTGGCGTGATGGTTTTTGGGAGTGTTGTCTGAGGTGCTTTTCCTAACCCGTGTCACAAACCTCTTCTTCTGCTCCTCTGACTTTTACTACCTGTGAAGAATGTGACCCATGTGTGTTATAAAAGCATGTTTAGAATGTTTTAGGACTTGAAACCAAATAAATGTGAATCTTATGCAACTGTGAAACCATGTCTTGTCATCTCTACACATATTGCTGTTGAGTTTTGCAGCATCATGGACTACATGTATCAAAAATATGCATGCTGGCCACTCTATTAACAAACTGCAAAAAATGTGAGAAATGTTTTTTAAACATGTTTGATAAACTAGAATCTAACAAATCACTTGGGTATGAAAAATAGCTCATCAAATTGGTGATGTCTCGGTGATGTATCTTAACCGTTTCTAATAGTTAACTTTTATGGTAAAATCAATATCAATCATGTAGTGATGACAGAAACAAACGAGGAATTATTTATATACACACATAATTATAATGATAATAAAAATAGAATACAATAAATTTATAATCTATAAAAAAAGTAGAAAGTGAATATAGAATATAATACATGAAAAAACAGATTTTTGTAAAAAATAAAAAAAACTATACAATGTATACAGATAACTAATTGTAATAAGTAATTTTGAAAATTAATTTTAATTAATAATAACTATACAACTAAAATAGGCTGCATCCAAATATTGAGTTCAACCCTGTTACCGAATGATCTTCCCCATTGCAACGACATTCTTCAACATTATAACATGTAAAACTTTATTTTATTTAATAGTAATTTTAATCATAATTCAATTAATAATTTGGTCCTTTTATACAGCATGATAGGACAAGTAAATAATTTCATTCCATTGTGATAATTCAACCCTGTTACCAAGTCATTATAAGAAAAATGTTCAAATAAATGTTTTTTTTTTTGTTCAATATATATAATTGTATTAATAAACAACACATTGGCCTCAAACCAACTGAACCCAGCTCAATTTAGACTTAATATTCAACCCTCTTACTTGCAACCACATTACCTGTTCTGACATAGTTTTTGTATTTTATTTCATGATTACATGTTGATACAAATTTGATCAAATAGCTAATTTTGTTGTTTAATGATTATAATGTGTATTGCTGGAAAATAAAATCACATAAATGAGGGTTTTATACTGTTTAGATTTGCAAAACTTAGACCTCGAATGGCATAAAAGGAACACAAAACTGCATATAGTTTGGTCTTATTTAGGGGGATGACAAGGGTCTTTCA